ATCTGCCTACCTTATTGGTGAAGGTTCATCTTCATTTTCTCCATTAGCAACCGGTTGAGCGGGGCTGTGGAGCTCTCATCCCGTGTGGCGAACGTGGAAGTTTTCCCATGGAACATGCACACATACGCTCTTCGAGCCGCTGTACTAGCTCGGTGAATGAATCCAACCAGGCCGGTGCTAGGTGTTTGGCTGGTTATTTATTATTTATTTATTACTTGAAAACAATCGAAACCCAACAGGGGGCTGACGTGCAGATTGCCTGGCAACAAGAACGGAAGTAAGGGAAGAATGTAGGAGGAGTAGGATGGAAGGACAAATGGGGGAGTGATGAACGTTGAACAGTAAATAAAGGAGGAGAGAGAACTGTCAGAGGGGGGGAGAATCATCTCTTTTTTTACAATTTTAATATCCTTATCGTTGCTGTTTCGCAAAGTCTGAGCCTGCGTGCAGGGATTGGCCATCCCTTGATTGCTTGCAAGAACCAGCTAAAGCTTGAACGAGTCCAGAACACCAACTGTTATTAAGAGCCTGGATCCGAGAATCGGTGAAAGCTCGATTGAAGCCAGGAAAACTTCTTCCCCATCTGAGATGCGAAAGAATCAGTCCGAGGTCAGTCTTTCAAGGGGAGCGTGACAGTCACGGGAAGGGACACAACGTTCCTTTGTTATTTTTGCTAATCCCGGTGTGGTAAAATTTGAGTCATGATCTTGCGAAACTGGGATTATGCTGGTCCGGTCATCGACATGGACACGGCCTTGGTCTCAGATCTGCTGACATGATCCGTCAATTTTAATTAATTATTTATTTACTGCTTATTTCGATTGTTAGAAAGTGAGATCAAGCACTCAGTCTAAAGTAAGGGCGTGACCGGCAAAGCGAACCGTAGTTCCTCACCGATCGCTGAGGACCTCGGAAGCGGGCGTGGCGAAGTGACAGGCGCCATGACCCATGGCTTCAGCGAACGGTAAGTGACCCCTCCCCGGGTTTCCTCACAACGTGTTGGGTGGGTTGGGTGAAGGGAGCATAAGGTGGGGGGGGCGGATTGCGGATGGGTTGTGATTTGGAGGATCGGTGAGGGGCGGGACGGACCGGCGGAGACAACTGGCGCGGGGGGGGGTTGGGAGTTGTGGCCCGGTGGAGGAGTGGGTTGTCGTCGAGAGGGAGGAATGGATTGGGGACGTCCGTTCGTTGTTGCTCGTGCACGGCCTCCTCGTCCGCCTCTGTTCCTCGAGCGGCAATCGGGGGGCATTGCCTCATTGAAACGTGGGCAATCAGGATCGAATTCATCGAGATACCACCACAGGCACTTACCGCAGCAGGGGGTGTCCTGATTGGCAAATTGAATTTCCATGAATTCGCCGTTGGGATCTCTGATTACGACCCATTCAAGAAAGGAGTCTTTGACCGACGGATGACAGTCAATTCGCACGTTGCCCAACCTTGGCTCGTCCTCCTTCTTTTCAGGAGGGTGCATTACAATGATGGGGCCCATGAATTTCTGTACTGCCTGTCTCAAAGAGAACATCGCACCGAGTGAAACTCTAAGTGCAATTATACGGTATTTGGCGGCCAGATCCCTGTCCCTCATCTGGTTGAGCTCAACTTGAGTCATCCATGGTTTAAAGAAGACCTTGATGGGGCCTGTTCGAGAGGGAATAAAATTGTGACCCTTTGCTACCATCCATTCCGCAATTCTGGAAGAGCGGGCGACATAGGACGTAATGTTGGGACCCTCCCCGTGAGTCCGTCTTCTTTTTTGAGACGGATTCATGTTGACGTCCTGGTACCAGGCGTCTTCGTAGACTCGTATGAACTGCTCTCTCTGGGCCACAGTTAGGGAGGTGGATCGAGCATCGAAAACGGCGATAACTGTTCGTTCCTTGAGCCAGTTTACTGTAGCGGTGCTAACTTCTTGAGTGAGAGTGAGGTAGCCGACACCGTCAATGATCTCTGTCTCTCTGTGGCTCAGTTTCCGGAAATAAGCCGTCGTCAAATCATGCATCATGATCAAGTAGGGCACGGATGCGGGGCATATCCTGTGAGGCTGTGGACGGACCTCCAGTGTGAGAGGCTGGAGGTCGGGACATTGGTGGGATTCCTCCCTCCCTGACGGAAGGTGAAAGAGTGGCGGCCATAGTGGTGTGTGAGAGGGATGTGGTTAGTTGGGAAAGTGGCGAAGTCGTTTACCTGAGCGGGATCGCGGTGACGTCGGCAGCTTCAGAGCGCTGTTGACCGCTATTGTAGCCTGGGTGTACTTGGACTGGATTTGCACATCAGGGACATGGCAAACTCGCCTTGTCCGAATCACATAGTTCGCATTAGCTTGTTGTCATAATCTCCGATCCGCTGTCCCACCTCCATATCTGCCCTCGACATAGCCGGGGTTGACCTAGCAGCTGCTAGATGGGACGTTGGCGGTGCCACTTCGCCTGGCAGCGTGCCAGGGTGGTGGTCAGCAGAACCGGTTCTCTCCGAACCGGTGGCGCACCGTCTGAGTGCTCCGCGCCGGCCGGTGGCCTCTCCCCTCAGCTGCCACTCCAGGTCTGTCCAATATAAAGATTCAGCCCGTGCTATGAGGCCATGCGAAAGAAATAGAGAAAAGAAAAAGGAAAAAGAAAAAAGGAAATGTTAGGTGTACCAACTGACAAGGGCATCCCTCCACTATACTGGCATGTGCGAAACTACAGTGAATGTTCCGCTAGAACATAGAAAGATACACCGCCATGATTTTTGTCTTTTGTGCATGTCCAGGGGCCGGGACACACTGGCAGCATTTTTTTTTTTTTTTTTTTTTTTAAAGGGCGATGACCTTGAGGTATTATCATCGGACTAACCAGCCCAGGTAAATTCAATATTGTGTCTAATCTGACATGGGGTGGCCTTTTCAGCCCAGGGTGGCCTTGATTGCCTTCAGGGAACCCCGGACACCAGCCAGGGGACAGCCTGTAGCAGAGGGAGCGAGCATCATCTGAGTGGCCAGTTGCTGTGCCTCCCCGATTACCCCTCCCCCAATTGGGGGGACCAATGGGCTATCTCTAGGTGGCAGGCGCCAAGCATGCCCAGGAAGGTACATGAGGCAATGGGGATTGAACCCAAGCCCTCCTGAATGCCACTTACGTGCCTTACCAACTGAGCTAGTCCACTGGATGCTAGCAGCATACTAGCAGCATTGTACAACATGTGTGACTCTGTTTTTGCAAATATGTCTCTGTTTTTGCAAATATGTTTTTCCCTTTTTTTTTCAGATTTTTAAAACTCGTTTTCTATTATTAAAGAAAGTAAAATCCTCCTCTGGGTTCTCCCGTCAGCCAATGGACTGGGAGCCAGCCAGTTTGTGGCGTCTTTTTTGGGATGGGTTCTTCCTTCAGCCAATGGGCTGCGTCCTCTGAAGGTCTGCACTGGGAGTACACACAACATTGTTTCCTTTTTGTTGGCATTTGGAGGCAGAGAAGCACTGTAGCAAGGCTGCAATATCACACCCTGCCTCCAAAAATGTCCTTGATACAGTGAAAAGGGAATAACAAATTCAAGAAAGCACTACTTTTCATAGGCCCGGATTGGAGGAAACGTCGAGGCTGAAAGCCAAAAAAATTAGGGTAACCAGAGCCCTTGATACTTTTTGACATCAACGTTTGAAGCTCGTCACTCTTTGCTGTTCATGATCGCCCGTGTCAAACGGTACCAATGACACTGTGCCAACGGGTCCCAGCCCCAGAGCAGTGAGACTCGCAATAGGTGAGGAGGGAAAACACAAATAGTATTCTACGCCAGAAAAAAGAGGCAAGGTTCGTCCGCTCCGCTTCCATCAGGGCTGGGAGGTTGGCCCAACCTTGGTGCTTGTCACTGCTGTCTGGTCCAAGCTGCCCTCAATACGGGTAGGGTGATGGTCCTGAGTGCTGGTCGCACTGAGGTAGGATAGTAGGGACAGGGGTTGCACTGGGAGTATTAAACCACCAGTGCTTGGCCCAGCTGTCGATGCCGAGCCTGGAATGCCCCCGCACGCCGATTTTTGCCGAAGCGCCGGGGTACCGTTTTGTTTTGTTTTTGGCTGGCACTTCCAACCATTGTGGTCCGGTACCCCAAAGCCCTAAAGGCGGGAAGCGCCGCGGCCCATAGCTGGGCCAAGTACTGGTGGCCTACCTGTCAGGACAACCATTGGCTGCCGCTACCAGCAATCACAACGAGGATAGTATACTACACTGTCTTGCCTCTCCATTCATGTTGCACGGGACCCTAAAGAAACCTCAAACCAATGAGAAAAGGGAGGGCTCCCAGGCTCCCTGCCCTAAATGGCGGGATGGATCATCCCACCATCCTTTTTTTTTTTTTTTTTGATGGGAACAAGGCTCCAATCTATTCGTGGGGAGCAACATGTGCTGGGAACCGGGCCCAGCGTCCCATATGGAAATTTACATAAAATTTTGAAAATTGAGATGCCGGTGCCATTACCCAATCATCCCACCATCCTTATAAAACACAGTCGCCTGTTCCTAACAGTCCCACAACCTCACACAGTAAGAGAAAACTATACTATTCGATGGCATGTGGGCTGAGGCCCCCGTAGTAGCCGACACGTTGCCCCGGGGCAAGGTCCCACTTGCACGGACTAAGAGATTCTAACTGTTGATCTCTGCTATCTACGGTCAATATCGCTTAGTTCGTGTAGGTGGGACCTAGCCCCCAATCGGACTTGTGCTCCCTCTCGTCCTGCCTTCCCGAAAAAGGAAATCCGGGCGGCGCCCGGCCTCCAGACAGACCTTCCGGTCCGGTCGTCCGCACACAGACCGCCCCACCCTTTCCGCCTCCGTTTCCCCAACCTTTCCTCCTCCATTTCCCGCCATTTATAAACCCCTCTACGAGCCAGAAAAAGGCGAAATCGGCCTCGTCGACGCGCTGGAAATGGAAACAACCAAGTTCAGCTTCCCGCCGGGCGCGAACCAGGCCCAGCAGGTAGCGATGTCTCGATTTGCTCTTGTCGGCCGTCTCTCGACCCGCGGAAAGGTGAGCCTCCCGCGCAGCTTCGCATGTTTTGCCCCCGTGTTGTCGCCTCGCCGCCTCGTCAACGCGCGTTCGAGTCCGCTTCCCCTCCCGCGCAGTCCTTTTCCCTGGTGCTGCCGTTGGCCGTCAACGGGCGTGGCTGTGGCCGTGGCCCTTGAAGGCAGGAACCGTGGACTGACGTGGGCGGGAACCGTTCCTCGGCGGCAACTGAATAAAAAAATAGCAACTATGGCAAAGGCTATGGCGGACGAAAAGTTGGTGAAGGCAATGAGCGATCTTGAGGTATCAGACGAAACAGTCGCCGATCCGGATCCCGTGAACGAGCCAGCAGCTGTCAGAGTAGCAAGTAGAAAAGAACTGTACCCACCGATCGAGCCCAATGTGACGGGTTACCTGAAAGTGTCCGATCTTCATTCTCTCTATTGGGAAGAAAGTGGTAATCCACAAGGGAAGGTAATTCTAATTTCAAACTATTTTTTCATCCGTTTATAATATAACTGGTCTGTCTGTGTGTGTGTGTGTGTGTGTGTGTGTGTGTGTGTCATTGCTTGTCACTATTCTAATTTATAAAATAGGAAATTTATTATTATTATTATTATTATTATTATTATTATTATTATTATTATTATTATTATTATTATTTTTCACTTCTCCTCTTTCTGGTAACCTCTCATCATCACGGTATTATTAGTTAGACACTGGAATTCAAAAAAGACGAAGAAAATATAAGGCAGTTTCTCGGCCTTTTGGCTAAGATCAAGTGGTAGTATCTGTTCTGATCAGTTTAATATCTGATCCGTGGTCCATCGGACCACAAAAAAAAAAAAAAAAAAAAAAAAAAAAAAAAAAAAAAAAAAAAAAAAAAAAAAAAAAAAAAAAAAAAAAAAAACCCTGGTTCACGGGTTTATTTATGAGCAAGGGTTTTATTCGAAAACTCTACCTACCGACCAGGGATCAAGCCGATAAGTCCCTTCACTAGAATTTTTCACCCCTTAGGGCCCCTCTCCTCCACTCAACATTGTACATGTACCTGGACTGTTCTTGGACCAGATGCGTTCCGACTAGTAGTCGAACATTTTGAATATTTTGCGATCATTACCAGGTCTAGGTACATTTAGAATGTTGTGCAGTGGAGCCAGGCCCTCAATCCAGCTTTTTACGACAGTAAATAACAGCGAGGGAAGTAAAAGACGAACAGTTACGACAGTAAATAACAGTGAGGGAAGTGAAAGACGAACAGTTACGACAGTAAATAACAGTGAGAGAAGTAAAAGACGAGCAGTTACGACAGTAAATTACAGTGAGGGAAGTAAAAGACGAACAGTTAAGTGTGTCATTTACCAGTCAGGTAACAACCGGAAGAAGAAGAAGGTAAGCAATGGCCAAATTGGTCTTCACACGCAACGCAGTCGATAAAAAAGTCGTTTCTTACATACGTGTATACTGCTCAAACGCGCAGTATATGTCAGGTAACAACCAGGTAGGTAGGTGATCCTTTTTTATGTCCTTTTAAAAAAAAAGTTTACCCAGAAGTACCGGGGCTATTAGCAAGCTTCGGCTCCGCGGGGGTGGGTAGTTTTTTTTTTTTTTTTTTTTTTTTTTTTCTTTGGTACACTCACATTTTGAGCGCGTTCTGACTTACAAGGACACGTGCTATGGCCACTTTTGCTACTTGATTTTTTTTTTTCCTACTTCAATTTGATTGATTCGTGTTCGACACCGAGTGTGTGGCCACTGCTTCTTCTTCTTCATCTTCTTCTTTTTCTTTTTTTTCTTCTTAATTTGGACCATTTCTTGATTTATGCCTGTCATCCTTGCTCTACAGTGGCCATGCTAATTTACTAATTACCCTTCTCCGTATCGCTCCGATTTCAAAGGAATGCCCCCCTGAAGCACAAACCACTACCTTTACTGGATTTCATTCTTTTATTCCCCCCCCCTTGTTTCTTGAAGCTGCACGCCCGCTTTTACTGGATTTCATTCTTTTATTTCCCCCCCCTTTGTTTCGTGAAAGTGCATTTCACGGCGAGGAAATGTGGAGTTTCTGCACACGAAAGGTTTTCTCTGATGCCCTTTTTTTTGTTTTTATTTTTATTTTTTGGGACCGGCCTGAAACCTGCTGAGCGAGGATGAATTTCATGGTGAGTAAAATTTGGAGGCAAATCACATTACCCTTGAACCCTCTTAACATCCCCCCCCCCTTTCCCTCCCCTCTCTCCATGGTGACCCCAAGAACCCCCCATTAGTCCCTCTAGACCTCCCCGGGCCTTCTGCATTCGTTTCTCTCTTGCAAGATTTCCCGGTCATTTTCACCCCAAGTCACTTTTCCCCCGTACATTCATTGGCGCGCAGTGGCTGTTCGCTCCATTGTTATAGTATTTCAAGGCAGTCCCTTTATCGGTCAGGAGCCATGCGAACAGGCGGCAATCCATCCATCCATCCGTCCATCCATCCATCCATCCATCCATCATAATCAATCAGATTAACCAATCAATCAATCAAACTAACCGATCAATCAATCAATCAATCAATCAGTCAATCAACCAACCAACCAACCAACCAACCAACCAATCAATCAGTCAATCAATCAATCAATCAATCAATCAGATCAATTAATCATCCAATCGGATCAATCAATCAATCAATCATATTAAGCAAACAAGACCCGACCAATCAGGTCAATCCATCAAGTAATCCATCTAGTATTTATCTGTTTTTTCTCCCCAAACTTTGTGTAACCATTTCCCAATCCGTGCGCGTGTGTACACAACATCGGTCGGTTAATTGACTTTTCTAAAGTCAATGATGGTCCTGTTAATGAGGATGTCTATTATTATCACTGTTTATTATTTATTTATTTATTTATTTAAGATGAGGGTGTTAATTAGGGCATCCTCATTTTGATAAGAATAGTGACTGCATAGCTAAGCAGTGGCCAAGCTGCTCCCCAAAAAAACACGTCTTTATTCAATGAATATGCAAATGCATGCATAGTCGTTCATATTCAATGTAAAGCCATAAAGAACGTACGGGGGACATATTCACTCTTTTTTATTTCCTTTTTCTTAATGTATCTGATGGCAATTGACGTCATATTCCCTTCGGAAAGTGCTAGTTTGTCCGAGTATGCCCTTTTGTGAACAAACAATGACCGAATTTTTTCCATTCAACGAACGAAAAACGATTTCTTCCCCTGTCCTTCGAACGACATCCGTTAAACTTGGAACGATGCAGAGAAGGGTAATTAGCAAATTAGCATGGCCCCTACGCAAGGATGGTACGCACAAATCGAGAAATGGTCCAATTAAAAAAAAAAAGCAAAAGATTTCTTCCCCTCCCACTCCCCCTCGGCCCCGCCTCTTGTCGTCGTGACTAAGCAAACAAAATAAATAATGATTGAAAATAAGGCTGCCTGCCGTTTTGTTCACAAAAAAAAAAAGGAAGAGAAAAGGAATGAACGGAGGGGAAAGAGGAGAAGAGCATTAATAAATATCGATCTAATACATGCACGTATCTCTATCGTCATACAGAACTGCCCGGTGAGCCGTAGTTGGTAGATTTTGTCGATGTAGAGCCAGATCGCTACCCGACTCAGAGCCAACACAACAGAATCGAACCGGTGACCTCGGCCATTACAGCCAGATCACCCATAACAGCCAGATGCCTATACCACTGCAACCGTGACCGGATGTTAAAAAATGAAGCCATCTCGGCCATTACAGCCAGATCACCCATAACAGCCAGATGCCTTTACCACTGCAACCGTGACCTGACCTCGGCTATTACAGCCAGATTACCCATAACAGCCAGATGCCTATACCACTGCAACCGTGACCGGATGTTCGAAAATGAAGCCATCTCGGCCATTACACCCAGATCACCCATAACAGCCAGATGCCTTTACCACTGCAACCGTGACCGGGTGTTCGAAAATGGAGCCACACCAGTCACGAGATGGAGCCCGCCAGATCAATACCCAACCTGGAGCCTACACAACAGAATCGAACGGGTGACCTCGGCCATAACAGTCAGATGCCTTTACCACTGCAACCTTGACCGGGTGTCTGAAAATGAAGCCATACCAGTCATGACATGGAGCCTGCCAGATCGATACCCGACCTGGAGCCAACACAACAGAATCGAATTGGTGACCTCGGCCATAACAGCCAGATGCCTTTACCACTGCAACCGTGTTCGAAAATGAAGCCTTACCGGTCGCGACATGCAGCCCACCTCAGCACACCCCATCCGGGTTGCAGCAAGGACTTACACGTCAGCACTTGACATCCAAGAGATCCTCTGCAAGCGGCACCCAGCCTCCACGCAGACACCAACCACTGAACCGAACGGGTGGCAGAAAGGGAGGACAAACCGGAAAGAAGCGTTTGGGAGGGGCCTTGATGCACTAGTCTCCACATGCACAAAAGACAAAACATGGCAATATATCTTTCCATGTTCTGTACCAGTGGATTCAGTCTCATTTTTGCACATTTGGTGAGTACTGCAGCGAGGCCCTGTGTCGCCCGAGTTTCACGGACGGACTCGTCAGGAGGCCTAAACCTTGTAAATCTATCATATCTATGGGCCTCGCTGCACTACACTGGACTCCTGAAAAAGTTTAAGCGTGGCTCAAGAGTTTTCAGACTCTTGAAATGCCCGATATGCAGTTGTGGCTGCACTTACGCTAAACTCTTCAACTCTTCAACTCTTGAAGGTTAGGAAGCACTATGCGCAGCTAAGAAGGTTTGTCCACCCAGACTCCAGGTAAACTCTCGAAAAACAATGGGGCGCGTAGGGTCCTATAGACCTCTCTTGAAAAAAAATGAACTTGCAGGCTGGCGCTCTTGAATCGTCAAGAGTGACACTCTGGAGTGACCTCTGACAGCACTTGAAAAAAAAAATCAAGAGTGCCAGGCCCTTTCTTTAGTGAGTGCAGCGATGACTCTCACTCTTGACATTTTCGAGAGTGAGTCTGACAGCTCTTGAATAGGTTTTAGGCATCCCACGTCAAGAGTTCATGCAGCCATGCCACACTCTTGATACTTCAAGTTTCAAGCGTTGCGCAGCAAGGCCCTATGTATATCGAAGGTTCATCCTCCTGAAGAGTCGAGGAGACAGTCTGTCAGGGCATCCCGTTTTTTGTCTGCTTCTCCCTCTCTTCCTAAGGTTGACCGGGCAGTTATGCCACACTCTTGATACTTCAAGTTTCAAGCGTAGCGCAGCAAGGCCCTATGTATATCGAAGGTTCATCCTCCTGAAGAGTCGGTGAAAGTGCGAGGAGACAGTCTGTCAGGGCACCCCGTTTTTTGTCTGCTTCTCCCTCTCTTCCTAAGGTTGACCGGGCAGTTCTCTATGACGAGCTATATGATATAGACGTATATACACGTTTGAATAGACATATATATATATATACATTTGAACAAATATCGGTTCTCGCTCCACTACACTGGGCT